TTTCCTGAGAGCAGCCAGGAAAGATTGACTTTCGTCACTGGAAACTATAAGTCAATACCACATCCAAACAGACATTGTCACAAACTATCATATATCCCATCTATTCTCCTAAGGGCCCATGTATCTTTCCTAAGTTATTTGTTTTCCCATAAGTGACCGTTCTTCCCCTCCCTTCCTCTATTAAGAAGTCATTCATTTCCCATTAATACGCTTCTCCTCTTTCCCTTTCCCTATCAAGATGATATATAAGCCCCAAATTCTAACCACCTACTTGAGTCATGTTTTTGTGAATTCATGTATGCACATGATTAAATGTTGTCTTTTGTCTTGCTAATCTGTCTCTTGTAAGTTTAATTCATAGGTCCCTAATCACTTTACCTAAGAGGGTAGAGGAAAAGTTTTTTTCCATGACAGGGTATATCTTATATCCCATTAGAAATGTTCAGGCAAATTACTATGTTTTAAAGTTTCTCTCTGGCTAGTCCATCAACTAAAATCATAAATTTATTTGTTTCAGTTTAATCTTAATATATAAAGATTGATTTTTTACTTAATTTTGTTTAAAATTATGTAAACATTTTACATTGTTCTAAATTTTAAATTATACAATAAGTTATATGCAAAGAAATTTTGCTTCTATCCATATCTCTTTCAACCTACTTCTTCCCCCATGGGAACTCTTTACATTTTTTTCAGTTTTATGTTTTATCTTTTCACATTTTATACAGGAAAATATGCATGCATATTTATATTCTCTTTTTTTCTCAGATAATCAATAGCAAATCTCACATTTTCCTCCATCTTGCTGTTATCACATTATATCACAGAGATCCCACCACGATATACAGAGAATGTTAAGAGGAATATTTTGTTTTTCCAGCATGGGTCTAGCAGTTTGCGGCCTTCAAATTAACTGGTAATAGATTAAGAGGAGCAAAGATAAGGTTTATTTAAGTGTATACCCAGGAGTACTCAGCGATGAGTTACTAACTCAATAGCCAGTGGTAAAAGATTTATATATCAAACTTAACAAAAGGGGTTTAGGGTTTCAGTGGGAATGTATGGAAGAATCTCTTGGACTTTTTGGTGTTAATGGAACTGGGCGGCCTATCTCCATGGCAGCTGAATTCACAGGAAACTCCCTCAGTTGACGGCAGCTGTATTTTTTGGAGGCTCTGCTTTTCTCAGATAAGGAAAGTCCACGTAAGATTTCTTTCTGCACCTCCTTTAGCTCAAATATTTTCACTTTAAAGTAATGTTTATCCCACCTCTAAGGGTCTGAGTGTGTCTCCACAAGAGTTATTTTTCATCCCATTTCATAAATTCATAGTACTACACTATGTATAGATATGATACAGTTTATTCAATGAGTTCTCTAATGATAGAGATTTAGATTGTTTCTACCTTAAGTTATTATATTACAAACAGTGGTATAATGAATAACCTTGCGCATAAAACTTTTTGTACTTTTTTCCAATGTATATCTGGGATAGATTCCTAAAGGTGGTATTTGATTAATCATGGGGTAAATGCTTATGCAATTTTTGCTAGATTTGGCAAATCCCCCCCACACACAATAATTATACCATCTTGCTTTAGCATCTACCAATCCACGAGAGTGTGTATTTTTCCTTTGTCTCGCCAAGATAGTATGTTGTAGTCTTTTGGATTTTTCTAACCTGAGAGGTGAGAAATGGTATCTCAGTGCAGTTTAAATTTGTATTTCTTTTATTGAAAGTGAGGTTGAACATCTTTTCATACGGTTAAGAACAATTTGTAGTTCTTTGTGTGTGTGTGTATGAATTGTCTTTTCCTAACTCTAGCCCATCTTTCTACAAGATTGTGAATATTTTCATCTCTATTTTTTTGAAGCTCTACTTTTAAATTGCTTGGCTACCTGGTTTAATATTTTTATATTAAAAATAGTAACAGTTTTTCTGTAATATAATGACAAAGGTTCTCTCCTTGACTAAACTCTACCCAAGCTCCCCTGAACTTTTCAGCGAGGCCTACTTCAGTGTTCCTCTCCGCATTGTCCAATTTTAGTAAGAATCCTGATAAGTCAGTTTAACCAGAATCCCCATCCTCCATATCTGACCGCCTTTGTTACCTAATATCTAATAGGGTTCCTCATCTTCCACTATCTCCCAAGTGATGTCTGATCACCTTGGCCTGCCTTCAGGAAGAATCGTGTTAGGTTGGTTAAGCCAGAATCCCCTTACTACTGATGTTTCCTTTTAGTAATTTTGTATCCACTGACTCCCATTCTGCTCCTTAGATATAAATTCCCACTTGCCCATGCTATATTCAAAGTTGAGTCCCATCTCTCTCCCCCACTGCAAGACCCCATTGCTGTGGTACCTATACCTATCACCATGGCCCCCCTGGAATAAAGTCTGCCTTACTATCTTCAATAAGTGTCATGAATATTTTTTCCTTTAACAGTCACAAATATTTTTCTCAGTTTGTTATTTATCTTTTTAATTTGCTTCTGATGTTCTCCGGCATGCAAAATTTTTATTTTATTTCTATGTAATCAAGGTTATCAAATTTTTCATCTAATGCTTGTGAATTTTAAGTCATAATTAAGAAAGTTATATAGGAATTTATTTATGTATATATCTAGTATTTTATGTAGAACTAGACTATACTAGCATAGTATATAGCATAATTTTTTTCAACATTTAAATATCTGATTAAATTAGAATTTGTCATGGTGTATGATGTGATGAATCAGTTCAACTTTGTTTTTCAATATTGTCATTCAGTTATCCTAACAACACTTACTAAAAATCCATCATTTTGCCCACAGATTGGAGATATTGTCTTTAATTTGTACAAAATTTCTATATGCTGTATGTCTGGATATTCTATATTCTATATTCATTGTACTCTATTCATGGGTCAATGTTTTACTATTTTACATATAGAGATTATATAAAATATTTTAATATCTGGTGTGACAATACCTCATTCTCCTTATCATTTTTCCTTTTCAAGATCTTTCTGGCTCTTTTTGCTGACTTTTCCTTTCAAATGAACTTGACAATCAAACTGTCTAGCTCCAGAAAAGAAAAAAATCTGAGGATATTTTATTGGTGTTGCATTACATGTCTAAATTAAAATATAGAGAACTAACATGTTATGACATTGAATCTTGCCATGTTTATGACATTGAATCTTCCTACTTAAGAGCATATTTTTCCTTTTCACATATTCAAGTTTAGTTTTATGCTATACATAAGTATTTTATAGTTCTTCATTAGGTTTTAAATATTTCTCACTAAGCTTACACTTTGACAACTTTTCTATCATAAATTTCTCCTTCTATTCCATTTTATTCTCTATGTGATTTTTGTTTGCTTTTATATATTATGGAAATTTGTTGTATGTCTAATTTAAAAATATGCTATTTTAATAAATTCTCTTATTTTTTTAGTAGTTTCCATGTATATAATCACATCATCTGCGAAAGAAATATTTTTATTTTTGCTCTCCAATATTTATGCCCTTAATATATCTTCCCAATGGTCTCAGGAACACATTTAGTTTTTAGATACAGAGAAGGTATGTATATATATATAATCATATATATATGATTTTGTTAATATAATATTCATTATTCCTATTTTGTATGAGTGTGCTTGACATAAATAAGCATTGAATTTTTGCAAATAACTTGTCATATTTATGGAGCTGATTATATGATTTTTCTCCTAGTACTATTATGGCTGATTATAGTAAAAACAACTTTTCACTTCTGGAACACTATACCAGGTCATATGTATTACATTTCTTTTTTTTTTCTTTTTTTTTTTTTTTGTGAGGAAGATCAGCCCTGAGCTAATTTCCATGCTAATCCCCCTCTTTTTTTGCTGAGGAAGACCGGCTCTGAGCTAACATCTATTGCCAATCCTCCTCCTTTTTTTCCCCAAAGCCCCAGTAGATAGTTGTATGTCATAGTTGCACATCCTTCCAGTTGCTGTATGTGGGACGCATCCTCAGCATGGCCAGAGAAGCGGTACGTTGGTGTGCGCCTGGGATCCGAACCTGGGCGGCCAATAGCGGAGCGCACGCACTTAACTGCTAAGCCACAGGGCCGGCCCATGCATTACTTTTCAGTGTGTTGTTGGATTAAATTTGCTATTATATTCAAGATTTTTGCATTGAAATTCAAGAGTCAGATTGGATTGTAGTTGACTACTTTGGTGCATAATTTAATTAAATTTATCCTTTATAAAAAGTTTGCAAGTATTCTTTCTATTACTATATTTTGGAATAGTTTAAGACACAATGAGATTATCTGATTTTTTTAAAGAGCTATTAGAATTTCAATGTGAATCTATTTAGACTTGAAATGGAATTGACAGTCCAAGACAGGAAACCCATGTATCCATGGTCAATTGATTTTCAACAAGGGTGCCATGAAATTCAATAGGAAAAAAATACTGTTTTCAACAAATGGTGTTGGGATGACTGGATGTCATGTACAAAAGAATGAAGTTGGATTCTTACTTCACATCATATACAAAAATTAACCAAAAATGGAGCAAATATCAAAATATAGTAATCAAACTATAAAACTCTTAGAAGACAGAATGGAAGAAAATATTTGCAAATTATACATCTGAAAAAGGACTTTTATCTAGAATTTTTAAAGAACTTTTACAACTCAATAATAAAAGATCAAATAAGCCAATTAAATAATGAGCAAAGGATCTAAGTAAACATTTGTCCAAGGAAGATATACAAATGTCCAACAACAGCATGAAAAAATACTCAACATTATTTGTCATCAGGGAAATGTAAATCAAAACCACATTAAGACAACACTTTATGCCCACTAGGATGGCTATAATCAAAAAGTCAGATAATAACTGGTGAGGATGCAGAGAAATTGAAAGCTTCTACTCTACTGGTGGGAATGTAAAATGGCACAGTCACTGTGGAAAATAATCTGGAAGCCCCTCAAAAAGTTAAACAGAATTATCATTAATTCTACTCCTAAGTATACACCCAAGAGAATTGTAAACAAACACCCACACAAAAACTGGTACATAAATGTTCACAGCAGCATTATTCATAATAGCCAAAAGGTAGAAACAGCCCAAATGTCTATCAACTGATGAATGGATAAGTAAATTGTGGTATATCCATAGAATGGAATATTACTCATCCACAAAAAAGGAATAAAGTACTGATACATGATACAAGATGGACGAACTGTGAACACATTATGCTAAGTGAAAGAAGCCAGTCACAAAAGACCCTATATTATATGATTCCATTCATATGAAATGTCCAGACCAGGGAAAAGTATAGAGAAAAAAAGTAGATTAGTGCTTTATTAGGGCTGCGGATGGGGAGAGGAGGAGGGGAAATGAGGGCTGGGAATGATAACTAAAGTGTATGAAGTTTCTTTTCGAGGTGATAAAAATGCACTACAATCGACTGTGGTGATGATTATACATATCTCTGACTACACTAAAAACCATTGAATTGTACACTTTAAATGTATGAATTGTATGGTATGTGAATTATATCTCAATAAAGCTGCTACCCCCCCAAATTGCATTTTCACTATATTTATAGTTCAGACATTTCAGTTATATATTTTCCCCAAATGCTGCCATGTTATTTTGATTGAAATTTAACAGATTTTTTACATGTTCAGAAAACTGTTACCATGTCTTGCATCATTTGGCTGCATGCTTGAAACAGCATGATTTCTTTGCTAACAATGAGCTTCATAAGAACTTTGAGTTTTCTTGATCAATAGAGTTTTCTGTATCTGTGATCCTTAGCTGTTTCTCTATTGAAAGTACTAAATCAGAGTAACTCAAACAACTTTTCACCTTTATCTGATGAGACTCAGCCCTACATTTCATCAGTTTCTCTAGTGGATTAGTGACCATTTTGCTTTGTACACAAATCTTTGATTCCATCAAAAAATTTTGAGAAAATTGTTTTTCTACCCCAAGACGTCATTTACCTCAGGCAGATAAAAGGCTATATCCATACATTTCATCGTGTTTTTGAACCAGCTACAAAATGCCTCTTCAGTATGGTTTCACCAAAGGCATGTATCCCAATCGTGTCTTAGGAAAACAAGGAACTATCTGTCTTTGCCTTTGAACACAGTGAAGTGAAGTCACCAGAGAAATAAATAAATAAACAAAACTTCATAGAATGCTACGGTCTTATTAACAACAGGCAGATATTCAGCTTCTGGCTCTTGTTTCATCTTCTTGAGCCCCTTTATAATCATAGAATCTTCAACTTGCCCAGTATATCCACTGTCTCTTTCAAGGGTTATCACATTCAGACTTTGTAGATGTAGGTGGTATGATAAGCTCTGCACACTCCTCTTTTTCAACAAGAGTTTCACGTAACTATAGGAAACCACAGAAATTCTTACTTAGATAAGCCTGGGGTCTGAAAATCAGAAGATGAGTGTGGTCTTAGTATGCGCTGTGAATTTAACCTTGGCACCTTCACTGAGGGCCTCAAGAAGGTCAGTCACAAAAGATGGATCAAGTTTAAGGTGCGCACACAGCCATAGATTTCTGTGAGTTCTCTACTATGAAAATAGAAAATACTTTCTAATCCTGGGTGTCAGAGTGTCCTTATATCCTCCTCTAGACCTGCTGTAGTGGCTTGAGATCCTAGGTCATGGTGTTTGCAGGCATGAGTAGGAACGATCAGGCTGATAGAAGGCAAGGGAGAAACAGCTAGAAAACGTATCACTGTGGGCTCACCACCCGTGTATGCAACCTTGCCTAATTTCCTTAACATTTCCACTACCCTTGCTAGAATGCTTCTGCCCTACAACCAAAAGCAGCCATGATATTCCAGAAAAGTATTCCTCTCGAGGTGTCACCAACATTTCTACCTCTCCCTTGACTCTATTTTTAATCTATTCATATAATAAGAATGCCGTGGACATAAATGGATGATAGCTAAAGGTAGCACATGATTGTGGATATTCCAGCAAAAATGCTAGAGGCGTGGACATTGACTATTACAAAGCAGATAATATGACTCCTCTATCACACCCCACCACAGCCACTGCCATAATTTCCAGCATACAGGAATGTGACTTTTGGTATAAACTCCAGCTTGTTCTGGACACATGCCAACTCTTTATGGAAGAAATTGTGGATAGGTATATTAACCATCCTTCCACAAGGCAGGGCAAGGGAGCTGAATGTAGAAGCCCAAAGAGTCATGTTAGGCCAAATGACTAATTTCTGTTAAGGGTATATAGCATTTAAATCAGTATTATTCTATCAAGCTAGTTCAAGAAAACCCTAATGTTCATTAGTAGACCAAGGTATTGTGTTCCTATCCATTACTAGGATATCCATGTATTCCTATCTAAAAATAAAATAAAATAAAGTAATATCAGACACTATTAACTAAGAATAAAAATTTTATTCTGAAATAATTTGAATTTTAAATCTGGTTGCAACTTTGGGAATGGATAGGTGAGCAATCCAGTAACACAGAAGTATCTGGGTTTTTTCTTGATTTGTAAGTCTTTGCCTGAATTTCAGACACTGCTCCCTAGAGACACATTATGGAAAACCATGAAAGCCTCCTACTTGAAATTTAACACTTGTAAACAGTGTCTTATCCAGAAGGTCACCATCTGCAATTAAACATCATTTTTAATGCCTAGAGGAAATGAAATGCTAAGTGTGACATTCTTTGGATCATGCCTCTGGTTTATTAAATTCCAAGAAATAAACATTCTTATTTTTCCATTCATTTTTAGTTATTCTCCTTCTTTTTAAAGCAGCAAGAGTAATATATTAATGATATTTGGTATATTTTGGACCAAATTTTTCCTTTTTTAATAACTATATTCAAAAAGCCTGAATCTGGCTCCTTTTGGCCTAGATGTACAGTGACTATATAAAGAATGGAAAAGAATGGATAAAAGATGGATATTGAATTTGTGGTGTAGAGATAATTAATTATTGATACGGTAAAATATTAAATTACATCATAGGTCACACTGTACATAAAAATAAATATCTAAATGATAATAGTAAAATATAACATTTTTAAATGACAACATATTTAAGACATTAGATAAGGATTAAATACATGTAAAAAGATTTCTTTAAAAGGCAAATTCAAAATAAAATCTATACAGAAGGATTAAAAAGAGATAGCCCAGAATAAATTCTTTTTTCTACCCTCTTCCACATTATTAATAAGGAACAATTAGAACTCAATACAGTGATCTTTTCTCTCACTTAATGATTTTCCTCATAATTTCAATTGGTGTTAGCATAAAGCCCCATTTCCCAGTCATTGTCCAATATTGAGTTTCAATTTGGAATTAATTGTCCATATGCCTTGGCTTGGTATAATGTACTTCTCTTTTTACTGATGTATATACTTTCTGGAAAATAGATTCAAGGCAAAGAGACACAAGGGACCTATGTAACAGACTGAATCAAATCATTAAGAAGAATTGCTTTTACCATACCCTTGAGCAGATATGACAATCCATCACCTCACTGTTTAGTCAAGCTCTCACATCCCATCATCCTCAAGTGGTGAACATTAATCAGAATGATAATCTTTAAGATTAAATATTGTATCTTCAAAGAGTAGTCACATGTGTTCTCCAACCCAGCCGGGGAGAGAATGGCCATTCACATTCACTACAGAGTGGAGTGTATTACTGTCTGATCTTTATGACCCAAAGGGAAATCTAAAATCTACTGGAGTGTTAAAAGGAAACATTTAGTTCATCAACACATTTATAAGTCCAGAGACAGTATTATCTTTCAGGCTTGAGTTTTTATTTCTGTCATGGTTTAAAAACATGATGTCTCTCATTCCTCCACTTAGTACAGCTTAATACACGTGAAGAAGTGAGAACCATACTGGGAAGAGAAAAGGGTCAATGATTTTAAAATTGCAAGTCACCACCCAACAGTGATTTTTCAAATTTTTTTTTTTTTTTTTAATGAAAGGATAGACTGGAATGGAATAGAACGCGATACAATGCAATGGAATGCAATGGAGTGCAGTGCAGCACAATGCGGTAGAAGAGGACAGAATAAAATAATCTGATACCAAATACATAAGGATATTTCTTCCTAAAACATCCTGAAACGACTAGATATATATATGTCCCGAATTACAATATAAAAATATCTTACTGTGAATCATGATCCAAAAATTTGGAATTCACTGTTTCTAAAACAATTAGATTTTGAGATCCTATTCAACCATTTGGGGAAGGGGAATTTGAGATGATTACCAGGTAAATGTGAAAGTATCAGGAAATCACTTTATCATTAGTAACATTAGAAATGATAAGAATAATACTGATATATAACAGTTTGTGCACGAAGCATACGAATCGGCTTTGTAAAACATTTAGCACTATAGTGCGTATCAACCCCTCCTCGATCTGGGAGGGGTTTTAGTTGTTGTTTGTTGCTTTTTAAAGTATTAATAATAATGCTTGGGAACCCATTCTATAGATTTTCCTATGACTATGTGTGTCTGACTACACAGGTGAATGCACAGCCAGGGTTGAGAACACTGGCATTATGCGAATGTGACAAATGAAACACAGCGTCAGAATAAATCTCCTTAATGTGAACATACCTAAGGGGCAGCTAGCACGGTTTTGCCTCTTGTGAGCATAAAATGTTTGATTTTAATTGTTAGGGAAGAACCGTCTATTTCAGAAATCTATATAGAATAATAGTGAGGGTGTGCAGTTATAATTTGAGACTTAAGCTGATAAAAGATTTATGCTGAGCATCTGAGCCCTCATTTTGGAATAAAAGCGTAGAATTAGCATGCACAGTTATGTCCGAGTACAAGAGATATGTCAGGTTCTGCCGATTCTCTGATTTTTCATTCAGGAACTGTTCCTAGCCCTAAACCAAGTGGCTATGAGAATACAGTAGCCCCCACTATCCGCAGGGGACATGTTCCAAGACCCCCAGTGGATGTCTGAAATTACCATGGTACTGAACCCTACAAACACTATGTTCTTTTCACTTAAGGGAAGAACTTTATGGTTTCTCTTTGGCAATATCTGAATTGGCAGCATCACTACTCTTGTGCTTTGGGCCTATTATTAAGTAAAATAAGGGTTACTTGAACACAAGTACTGAGATACTGCTGCAGTTGATCGGATAACCAAGGCAGGCTATTAAGTGACTAACAGGCAGGTAGCATATACACCATGGATACGCTGGACAAAGGGATGATTCTCTTACCAGGAGGGTGGGAGCAGAAGGGCACAAGATTTCATCAGGCTACTCAGAACAGTAAGCAATTCAAAACTTATGTATTGTTTATTTCTGGAATTTTCCATTTAATATTTTTAAACCATGGCTGACCATGGGTAACTGAAACCGCAGAACGTGAAACCAAGGATGAGAGGGGACTACTGTTGTCTTTCTTCTGTAAAGGCCATATCTACTTGAGAGTGTTTGCCCCCTGCTCTTTTTGGCTCATATCAACATATCTGCCACTGGCTTCGTGCTTCAGTGTCTTAGCATAGAGATTTCATAGACCTTGCTTATCTCAGGATTACACACTGCTGACCATATGTAATCTGACCACACTTGTCCTCAAACTCTTCAAGGCTGCCATCTCTTTGGTCTAAGATCAGACAGTGCTCTTAGGCTCATTAACCAGTGGGGTGATGTTTTAAAGTGCATTTGGTGGGAAGAGTCTTTTCCTGCTTGGAGTCTGAACAAAACACAGATCTTAGTACAAATATGTGGATCCCATTACCCTTTTTGCTAGGTGAACTTTTAGACAGCTACATTGAAATAACAACCTTCGGATCACTCCTTGCTCAATATTTTATGAGGCCACACAACATACATGGTTTTTTATTATTTATTCAAGCACTGAGAGAGGTCTGGGAGATGATGGACATCATCATAGACAGCTGGGAAAGGGTTTGGGTATGGAGGAGATATGAGGGAAATGCAAATTACAATTTCTGGCTTAGCTTTGAACCACTAACTTAACAGACACATCCTATATACCTACAGGAACAACGCCCAAAAGTTGGGGCAATACAAATGGGAATAATATTTGTGATCTCCTTTCAAGGAATATACATTCTACAAGAAGAGAAGAGACAAATGGGTAATTATCCAAAGCGCTAGGGTGAAAATGACACACCAGTGAGCAGATCTGCCAGCTGAGTGCTGGATTCTTACACATCACAGCTTTCTAGCTGCCAGCAATCCCAAAGAGCAAAACCACTTCAGCACATGAAAATAGAAAATATTTTAACTCTTTTAAAGTAAGACTGTTTCAGTTAGAAAGAAACACAAGTGAGAGGTTAGACTTATTTATTTATTTTCCCATGAAGCCAACCTATTGGAAAGTTAATTGAAGGAAGACAACATGGCATTTTAAAGCACATATGTTTGCAGGGGTCAATTCATTACTAGAGAGTGGAATTATCAGTCCCCATGGCTTCATTAGCAGGGACCTTGGTCCACCTAATAAAATAGTACTGTTTAAAGCTCCCAGAATAATCAACCTTGTACACAGATGTTATCCTTTCACCTTTTTTAGATACTAGGAAACAGCTGATGTGACTTAAAGGTGAAGAAGTAGATATTGGGCAAGAAAATTGGACTTCTTACTGAAGCTGAGATAGAGACAGACTCCCTAAAAGAGCCCCGATGAGACAAGTTCAGCGCTGTGAGAAGGGACGAGAGGAAATCCAGTTAGCAGCCTAGGTCTAAAGCATGATATACTGGTGGTGGGGTGATTTTAGGGCTAACAATTGAGTTTCTCTTTGGTGAAATCCCCTGGGTGGAATCCCCAGGAACTAGTTGTATCTAGCCCCTGCTAGTTTCCGTGCCTCTGAGAAACTACCCATAACCTTCTTAGACTAGAAGAAAATCCTCTGTAGTCCTGGTAGGCCACGCAGGAATATCTTAGCTAGCTGGGAGGAACAAGAGCTGGAACCAATGAACGCATCCAGTAGACAATGTATATATACAAGGAAATGATTTAAGATTAAAAGCTTCCCCTATACAACTTGAGTAGTAGACTGACAAACCCACATGTGAGAAGAGAAACTCTAATCCTTATTTTTTTAAAAAAATAAAAAAGGAAAGAATGGAAGTAGCCAAATGTTTTTCTCCTCTTTGAAACATTTCTATATAATTGGGCTCATTATGAATCACTTCTATTCATTCATTTACAACATGCTTTGGTGTAAGTATATTTATATAACCCTGAAGGCTATATCAATAACATATGGATTTATCAAGCCAAGTGCAAACTTCTTCCCAATTTTGGCTACACGTTTTGTGGAGTGTGATCAGAGGTGGTGGTAGGTGTGGACATATACATACATGAACATAACATTTCAGGCAATTCCAGAAGTTTCACAGACCCTGAACACCTCTGCCGGCCCCCAAAGCTTTACCAAGATTAAGAAACCCTATTCTATTGGATTTTTTAGATTTTCATATGTTCGATTGTTCATGAATTTTATTGTCTATACAACAGGAAGTACTGTTTTTTAAATTTATTTTTAAGTTTTAAAAGGTTTTCTTACACTAAAGGTAGAAATCCCAGTCCATTTGCATCTACCCTGCAACAACCTGGATGTTTTTTGATTTCACAGTTAACAAAGGATCCCTTGACCCTCTATAATAGATCTCTGGGGTAACCTACCTACAAATTAATTCCCAATCCTAGGTAAATAGCTGCACCGTATTGCCTTAACCAGGGTTATCTGAATTTTTTGCAAGTTCGGGCAAAGGGTTACATTTTACAGTTCATTGAATAATCTTGTTTACATACATATATATAAAATATATATGAAATGTACATATGTGATATCTATACATCAACATAGCAAAATTCAGCTATACTTTCTAAATTTCAAAAGAGATGTACCATTATTTCATAGTATACCAATGAAATTAAGTTATTCTTAAGGGCTTTTATGAGACATTTACGCATTCTCTTCACAGCAATCTCTCTCTCTCTCTCTCTCTCTCCCCCCGAACTTCTAACAATACCAGGCATCTCTAATCAGAGGATCCTCCACATGTGTAGCCTTGACTATATCCTAGATCCCGTTACACTGTCATCAGACATGAGACCTCCATCCTCGCAGAGTAATTCTCCCCTGTGCAGGAACGCACGAGAGGCCAGGCTCCTCCCGAACTCTACACGTGCAAAATGACCTGTCAAATGACTGCAGAGGCAGAGGCAGTTCATCTTGCTTGTTGTCATGGTTATTAGTAAGTGTTGCTGCTTTATTACTAGGGGCAGAATCTAAGGTACCTCCTGAGGTTGGGTTCCATGATAGGCCTGCACATTCACCCTGGATAAGGTGGCGGGGAGGAAGGAACTGCTTGTTCTGCTTTAATTCACGGCGTGGTTGGCATCTGTTGTTCACAAACAGACAGAACCAATGTCAGAGATGATTTCTCTGAATAAACATTTTTTCAGAAAACCATAATTCTGATTGGATTGCTTGTTAAGGTAATACTTGGCACAAACATGGGATTGCGATGTTAACTAACCACACAGTTCAGCTGAAATCCATCCAGAAAAGTGTGAAATGGGCCCGGCTGAAAGCAGGAAGCCATGAGTCACAAATTCACAGCTAACACCTAGGGAGACACAAACACAGATGTCATCTCCCCTTCTTCCTCCTGCTTCTCACTCACACCCACAGACTGAGGAGGATGGTGAGACTTTTCACAGATGCGGTGTGGGTAGAAGAGGCTTAGGTTGTTTGTTGGAGATCTTTGCTTTGTTTTGTTTTGTTTTGTATGTGTGTGTTTGTTTTAATTAATGTACCCCAGAATTTCTCCAGAAATGACATTTATCTCCACTGTCCATTTGCTTATTATACCTCAATATAATTTAAAGTGAAGGGGTCAGCATGCCTGAGTTGATACCGGCCACGTTGATATAATCATTTTAGATAATGAGGAGAGATAGAAAAATAATAAGAAAGATGAAAAAGAGAGAAAAGAAAAGTAAGAAGAAGAAAGAGAAATGTGAAAAAAAATGTTAAAGGAATGGCAAAAACAAGAGTCAACAGAGGCTGACATATCCTTTTGGTACCTAAATTATGTTAGCATTTTCCTGGCAATGTTGGGGTGAGATTTATTATTACTATTATTTAATAAATAGCGTGCTGCCTTCTTGCAATATCAATCTGAATTGCGCTCAAAAATCCTGGGATTCTAATTGCTTAACAAGATCTTCCAGTCCCCATGCCCACCACACCCAAACAAGGAGAAAGTCTATTTGACCTTTCATGCTGGACTACAATTATGAGCTGTGCTTTGAAAATCTAAATTGTGGTTACTGGTTGTATGGGTTGAATTATGTCTCTCCCCCACCCCCTGCTGGCAAAATGTATATGTCCTAAGCCCCAGTACCTCAGAATGTGACCTTATTTAGAAATAGAATCTCTACAGAGATAGCCAAGTTAAAATAAGGTCATTAAGATGGACTCTCACCCAATATGACTGGTGTCCTTATACAAAGGGGAAATTTGGAAACAGACATGCACATAGGGATTTTCCACGTAAAAATAAAGACAGAGATTGGGGTGATAATTCTACAAGCCAAGAAATGCCAAAGATTTCCAGGAAACCACCAGAGCCTAGGCAAGAGGCATGGAACAGATTCTCTCTTACAGCCCTAAGAAGAAACTGACCCTGGTGTCATCCAGATCTGTGTCATTCCAAAACTGTGAGACAGCAAATTTCTATTGTTTAAGCCACACAGTTTGTGATACTTTGTTATGGCAGCCCTCGCAAACTAATACATTGGCCTTATTCTCTCTCTGTCTTCCAGGACTCACAGATCACCAACAAAGGATTAAATACTCCTTTAGGAGTTAGGAAAAAAGTAAAAATCAGGATAAATGATTTTAAAGAGATATAGAAGGACTACCATTTAGCAACATCTCAATTTAATATCTTGATATTCCAGAAAGAAAACATGCAACTCTTGGAAACGTTATAAAGCTAGGGGAAAAAAGAAAACAAAACAAAAAAAAGCACTTGACACCAGCCATATGGGTCATTAAATAAAACTCATAGTTTTACTTATTCTGAACCAGTGTAAACATCACAAATTGTCATCAAGATGTAAAATATAATCAAAGAAAGTCTATGAATGTCACCTCACATTGAGACTTCCTCCTGTGATAATTGAAGTACGCTATGCCATAATGTCCCCAGATCCATACATCAACATTTTGTCAATGATAAGTTTTATACTATACCTGCCCTGAGAGGTGGAATGAATATATAACCAAACAACCACATGGTTTTGCATGTATGGTTTGCAAATAAGTATTCACCTACTGAATGCTCAAAAGTGTGCTAATCTAACTTGATTTGGGAGCATAAAGCTCCTTACCCCAATAACTCCATCACACAGTACATCACAATGCATTCTGGAAAATTATGCTTTTTGCTTCCTTTTGTATGAATACACCAGTCCCAGAGTCATATTCAACGCTGGTGTGCATTTTAGATGCTGTCTCTAATTATGAAGTAGCAATACTTACTCACAGCCATCCTAAGATATAACTGCCTCTGCCGTTAAAGAGACTTGTTTGGCTCTCATGATATGTGGAATGAGGTTAAAAACAATTTAACCTGATTTTCAAAAGAAAGGCTACCTTAGAAGATGTGAGAAATTTGATAATTATATACAGTTATTCCCAAGGATAAAATTTGTTGTTGTGAGTGCCGTCAGTAGATTCCAACTCCTAACAACCCCGTGTACAGCAGAACAGAACCCTGCCCCATCTTTTGCACCATCCTCTCACCTTCCAGCACTATATCAGACAACGTGCCACTGCTATTCATAGGGTTTTCATGGCCAATTATTTTGGAAGTAGATGGCCAAGTCCTTCTTCCTAGTCTGTCTTAGTCTGGAAGCTCCGCTGAAACCTGCCCACCATGGGTGACCCTGCTGGTATTTGAAATCCCGGTGGCATAGCTTTCAGCATCACAGCAACAAGGATAAAAATAGATATCGTTTACTGAACACTTAATTTGTGCCAGTCATTGGGCGTTGCATATATTATTTCATTTAATTCTCATAAATCCAGAATATATTTTTTCTCTACTAACCTAATTTTTATGTAAGAATTATATTTGAACTACATGAATGAATTAATGAGTTTTATTTTCAGAATTTTCAAATAATAGTTAAGTGGTGGTGTTATCCTTTCATGCCAACCCAAATATCCATCTGTGGATCTTTGGAAGTTAAACCTAGACAATACATATGCCTTTCAGATATCTGTGTATATTCATAAGCAACTGAATAATAGGCCCAGCATACATCTTAACCTAATTCCAGAATATTTCCTACCACTCTCTATCAGAGGAACATGACTATTTTCAATAGGTCACTTTACCAGCAGGCATCACCTGCAGAGAGTTGTGGTAATCTCCAGGATGAATAATTTGTAAGATTACCTGTAAAAGAATACCCTTTCCCCTTAAAACCTGACCATAAATTTAGGATTTTGATTTTAATACTATACAAGCCAGTGAACGGTGTGTTCAGAAAGCATATGCGTTTCACAAGAACATAAAAGAAATGTTGTAAAGGACTAAACAGTAACAATGTTCACCGATATTCCTATCCAGGATAAATTATGTGATTGATATAATGAAGAATGTATACTGTCAAAATAAAGATAATAAAAACATTACATTGTATACGGATATGCTGCTTACTCAATGCTTGATAACCACTCTGTGAGGTAGTTAAAGCTGTAATGATTCTGTTATTTTAATTGAGAAAATAAGGACCCAGAAGCATGAAATAAATTGCCTCAAATAACATAACTTCAAATTGTGTTATGAAAAACCTACATTAATAAGAGCTGCAATTATTCCCAAGGACTTCAGAGATATGCTGGGCCTTCAAGGATGCCATGGAGTGGCTAGACAAACCTCACTGCATACAAGGAATTGAATGGTACCACTTTGGATACCTTTATACTAAAAGTATTATACGAAAGCACCCCGTGATGTTGCCAGAACTAGTTATACAGAACAGCCCAAGAAAACTATATCTTAAAGTTGTTTAGTTGATTTTCACAATTTCTGATCCCACTTGAGTCATAGCTACCATTTTTCCACATTCCCATTAAATTAAATTAATATGGAAATTCTAGACTGTGAATAGAAACGGATTAAAGATGCAAGGCTATTCAAGGACCAGGATGCAGAAATATATACCAAGAAGATATTTTAGATCCAAGGGATACACAGAAGCTGGAGCTGAGGATGGGCAATGAGACTGTGATGGAGAGAGAGGTGGAGAAGAGTGAGGGAAGGGATTTCAAAGAGAGTATGAGGAAATTTGGGAGGATGATGGAAATGTTGACTCTTGATTGTGGTGGTGCTTTCATGGATTTACACATATGCAAAAACTTACAAAATTGTACACTTAAATACGTTCAGTGTATTGTATATCAATCATACCTCTATAAGTCCTTTTTTTTTAAATGAGCAAAAGACTTGAATAGATTCTTCATACAGAAAAAAAGAATACCCAAAAGGCTAATAAACATTTAAAAAGATCATTCAACTTGTCGTTAGAGCAATGCAAATTAAAACCACAAAATAATACCACTACAGACACACAAGTATTGCTAAAATGTAAAAGACAAAAGCAAGTGTGGTGAGGATGTTGAGAATCGGAACTATAATAAACTGCTCGTGATACTGTAAACTGGTATAAACACTCTAAAAGTATTTGGCTTATCTATTAAATTGAACACAAGCATATCTTTTGACCCAGCAATTCCACCTCTAGTGAAAATACAGCAGAAAAGCATGCATATATTCAAGAAAACAGTACAGTCATGTGCCGAGTAACGACATTGCAGTCAATGACGGATCACACATAAAACGGTGGTCCCATAAGATTAGTACCATATAGCCTAGGTGTGTGGTAGGCTATACCATCTAGCTTTGTGTAAGTAAACTCTATGATGTTCACACAACAACAAAATCACCTAATGATACATTTCTCAGAAAACATCCCTGTCGTTAAGCAACACACAACTGTATACAATAATTTTTATGAAAGCACAATTTTTATAGCCAAGCAATTGTAAAAAAGACAAATATTCTTCAATAATAGAATGGATAAATAAATTATAGCATGTTCAAACAACGTACAATGAATCAGCAGTGAGAATGAATGAACTACATGTTATCAATTTAGTTGGATCCCATAGCCTGATATTGAGTGAAAGAAGCCTCTGTATAATTGTATATAGTGTAATCCTATTTACATAAAATTGCAAGTGAGAATAGTTATTCTAGGGAGTTAGTCATCAGGATGGTGATTCTCTGTGATGGAGGTGATCGAGTCGAGAGAGAGCACTCTGGCATGCTGGTAATGTTCCATTTCTTGATCTAGACTGTGATTGCATGGTTACGGTCAATTTATAAAACTCCATTAGCTGTATGTTTTACTTTTCTGTATATATGCTATTTTTAATACAGAAATGTTAAAATTACACATATATGAAATGAGAGTGATGAAGGAAAGAAAAAATATTAATCAAAACCAAAACTGGCAGTAGTTCTTTATGCCTCCTAAGAGAGGTACAAAATGCATATCCATACCATTTCCTTCTCTGCAAGAAGAAAAACAGATCATTCAAAGCCTCTGCCACTGAGAGGCTCTTGCCTCACAAAGTACATTAATGAGCATTATCTATTCAAAGGTATGACTCAAAGTTTAGGAAGGGATGGAAAGATAAATAGCCATGTAATGAAGTGAGCAAATTTAAATTAAACGAGAAATCCCAAGGGTTGGAAGCTCTAATATATACAATTACTTATAATTATATGTTCACTCCGCTATCCTTGGTTTGCTTCCTTGCCACACTGACTTTGGTCTTGGCCCTGTGGGTATGAGGAGACATGGCATTTGGTATACCCAAGCAGAAAGTTTAAATGCATTTCATGGCTTGGCTGGGGATCTCTTGTACTTACTTTCCACCAAGAGCAGCACATGTCCCAGAGAGTGGCTATTCTTTCAGCCTGGGTTGCAAAATGAGAAGCTGTGTATAATCTAGCAAGCTGACCAAGCCCTGCCAAGCTCCTCAGTGTCCCAGCCGACCATCAACTCTTAGGTGATGTGAGCAAGAAAGAAAGTTTTGGAAGCTGCTAAGATTTGGGGGATGTGGTTATGCAGTATAAGGAATTCAAAGAACAGTCCAAGCAGCAGAGGAATATTTTTATTCTCATCTCTGATCTTAAAGTAACATAAATTCTAAAGTAAACCAAGTAGGCAAGTAGCTGTTAATAAATGTCTGTGCTATAAAGCATACAGGTAAAAATGGGGGTGTTGAGGCTTTCCCAAAGAAACATTCACAGCAGAAAGAGCAAGAAAAAAATAAAGGAGAAGTCAAGTAAAAATCAATATCTATTTACAGAGGACCACCTTCTTAAAAAATCAATCACAAAACCTTCTGGGAAGGAAATGGTTGACAGTGCCCGTAATGTTTGACCTCAACCAGACATCCTCGTAAACAGTCTACTACTCCAGTTGGGTTTAGTAACCAGGGAACATATCTTTCAGATGTTTTTAGTAGTATGTACTTGAGCACCTAGATTGCTTATTATAAATACACTTGGAATTGATAGAGTTGTGGGCCATGGTTGGATGAAAAATAGAAGGTAGTCACATAGATTTTTTTCTCTCTGTGTGACTAAGAGAGAATAAATACTGAGAAGCCCTAAATTCAGACAGATTCCCCTGAGAACAATGTTCTGTACATATTGTTGGTTCTGTCTGTTACTGCAAAGCCAAATCTTGACCTAGGGAAAGAGACATTTTACAGAAGCTATGTCTGATGGTTTGAGGTCCCTCCAGAGAAGAATGTGGTGTTTCTGTTGCTTTCTTGCTTTATTCTTTTGATAGTTGACAAAGTTTGCTGTTGGGCAGGCACTATGCTAGGTCTTTGATGGGCTATTTGAGTAGTAGACGAGACAGGTGTTATGGATGAAATGTTTGTGAACCCTCAAAATTCGTATGTTGACATCCTAACTCCCAAAGTGATGGTATTAGAAGATGGGACCTTTGGGAGGTGATAAGGTCACTAGGGCCGAGACCTCATGAGTGGATTAGTGCCCTCGTAAAAGAGACTGCAGAGAGCTCCCTCACCCCTTCTACTATGTGTGTACACAGCAAGAAATAGGCAGTTTACAACCTGGGAGAGGGCCCTCACCAAAACTCACCATGTTGGCACCCTGATTTTGGACTTCTAGCCTCTAGAACTCTGTGAAATAAATTTCTGTTGTTTATAACCACCCAGTCTATTGTACTTTGTTGTAGCACAACAGGGCAATAGGCAATTTCAACCTTGTGCTGTGACAGAAATCGGCATAGCATACCAAGGGGAAAAAGGATTCACTTAATTCTGAATTCTTTTAAACTTTTTTAATCATTAGTCATACTCAGAGTCTTGTGATTAATAAATAGCTTGGTTAATTAACATTTATTTAATTGCATCACTTTTCTTAGTTTGTAAACTCTCAGAAGGAAAGCATTTTGACTATTTGCTTCTCTTTGAATACTGCTAAATTCTCTAGTTTATCCATTCATTTCAATTAGGTGCTGAATAAAATATTTTATAAAGAAAAAAGTGTGAGAAATATAGAAGTCATTTAAATATTCAGTTTATAAGGATGTGAATAATTTTCTTTTTTTCAAAATTTAGTGCCTTTGGCACAAAGTAGACAGAAATAATATTTATTTTTATACATTTTTATGCATGCTACACGATCTACCAATATTTCTTCCAACATAATCCTACCTTATGTCTTTCTACAAGGCTTGTTTTAAAAAATATAATTATCTCCAGGGATGGGCATTTTTACTACATGACAGATTGTGCTTTATAACTTCTGAGAAAAAAAGTTACTTAAATATGAGTAGAGATCTTATTTTCTTTTCATTAGAGAAATGGTACTTTTTTCATTAGAGAAATGGTACTCTATGTCTATCTAATATTGTGAATATGCCATCTCCAACAGTCCAAAAGTACAATTTAATATGTTAAAAGAGCAGAGGTGGACACAAACTTATATATATTTAGCACTAAAAGATTTAGTAACGGATTTACATACATTTCTGGTAAGTACTTTTTGGACTCTAAGTGTGAGCACCTCTTCAAAATTTTGGCAACTGACATTTCCATTTAGGTAGGACATTGAGAGAAAGACCTTCTACTTTTGGAAGAAGTCTAAATGGAATTCTGGTTCTCCTTTTGTGTTCATGATTATAGCACCTCCTCATCACCTATGTCATAAAAGTAGAGTTCTTTAAGTAGCCTGCAACTGAGGGTAATGCGGAATGGTTTTCCTGCAAAGAGTGATGTGACATTTGACATCACTATAGATTTCCATTGGCTAGCCATTTTAAATTTTCTAAGGCTCTAGAATTCAGGTATTTCTTACCAAGAGCATGGTGTGTCCTCTAATTAAGTTTACATGCACCAACAATCTAAGATTTCTGCAGAAAAGAATGAGTGAGATGTAAATGTTAATGAGAAATCTTAGTGGTATAT